CAAATCAAATTAAGGAAAGATGCAGAGGTTGTTTAATGCTCCAACTAGAAAAGTCTGAGAAGCCGAAATATTTGCTTGAGAGCGGCGAAACCTTCAGCGTAGACGAAGAACGTCATTTGTGAAGATCAACGACCGGTGAAATTCCATTTGCGCAAATGGCTTCAGTTCAAGAAGAACATGCTTTGCGACAAGCTGCTTTGGCGTGCGAAGAAGGTATTTCTGTTGTTCAGATTAATATGTTTGCATGGAGGATGTTGTATGTTAGATGCACAAAAAGGAATGTGTGCATGCATTTGTGATGGACTGCATATGTAATGTGTTTTTGGATTATGTTGAAGTTAGTAATGTGTAATTGTTAATTAATAATATGGAATTGAATTTGAGGGAAAAGGGCATTTTGCACCGAGAATGTTTGTTTGTGTGTTCGTGGTTGGTGGGTGTTAATGATTAGATTAAGTATTGTGCAAATAAGTTTACGTTAAAGTGAAATAGATTAAAGTAATCTTAGTATCAATGTTGTTTTTGGAGTACGTGTTTGTTGAGTGAGTATCCTGATTATACAAAATGGTGTTGCAAAATGGATTAGGTAAAGGTGCAATACAGTAGACTAATCTGAGTATGAATGTTGGTTTTTATGTTCGTGCATGGTGATTGATTTTGATTATAATAGTTATTGGTTCAAAATAGCTTACGTATTGGTGCAATTTAGGTGATTTGGTTTGAAGACTAAGATATGTGGGGTGCAGTTGAGGCAACTTAGAAGTAATCAAGGGTTCAAGTAAATACTTTATTTGTTAATTGCTTGTGGCAAAATAATGTAGCTAAAGGTGCAATTAACTTGTGTTTGAGGAAGTTGTGTGTGTTAGTTAAAATGCAGATAAAACAAAATTGTTGGGTGTGGATGGAATTTTTTTTAAATAACTTAGTTTGTTTTGGTGCACAAGACATTAAATAAGGATGCAATTGAACTGTGAAATAAATGCAGATATGGTTTGTTTTCAAATGCATATTTATTTTTTGGGTGATGGAATTAATATGCAGATGAAGATTGGTTGTTATGCAAAGAGAAACGGTAAGTGCATTACAAATTGTTTATAGGTGCTTATAGGTGCTTAAGATGCAAATCATTGTAGTGGAATATGTATTTTGTATTGAATTAAGCTGTGGGTGTATTTGAATATGTTATTGATTGCATTATGTGCGGCATATCATTAATCGTAACATTGTTTTCTCAACAAGCAGTTAAGATGCACATGAATGTAGTTTGGTGTGCATATTCATGACAGTGTACTAAGTAATCTAACAAACTAAGTAGGAACTGGACAAAACCACCAAACAGTTGTACAAAAGAGAAAGAAAGTAGCACCATCTGGGAGTAGTATGGCAAAGAAAAAGAAGGTGATTAATAAGGGGAAACAAGTACAATCGATGCATGACTGTGATGGTTAGTAAATGTATACTTTCATTGCTTCAATTGTGTGTACTACTAAATTTGAGTGTGAAATTTGATTAAAATTTTAGAAGACAAGATTACTCGGCTCATGCAGTTGCATTCTAAGCTTGACAAACAAAAGGAATTGAGCATGCAGCTACAGGAAATTAGAAGCAAAACCAGACATGAATTCCAAGGTCAGTAATAGTAAATATTCATTGTATTGAATAGTTTACGGTGTATTAATGAGAAAGAATTATCCTCAAATGCAGGTTCATTTGTAGAAGACACTTTGGGTCTTGAATTGTTGCAAAAAGAGGTTGAGAGAATGTTGAAAAAGGAAAAGGCAAAAGGTGTTGCAACGGAGAAAACAAGGAGTGGCCCAGTTAAAGGTTTGATTACAACCTACTGTCCCCGCTACGTGTTAGTCAAATGTCATTCCTAGACGTGAACTTTTATTAAATTACATGCATTTGAAATACATATACTACGAAGTGAATTAGAATTAAAACGATGCAATTAATACTAAAATGATGTGCTCATTCATGTAGTGCCATTTTCAATGAACTGTTAATTTGAATGTGCAGGATCTAAGGGTGCTCGTGGAAGCAGAAGCGGTGTGCAAGAAAGTAGTGAAAGAAGGAGGAGTGGAAGGCTAAATAAGGAGAGAGAAGTTTGTAATGAAAAACATAAGGATGTGGTGGTGCCTGATACCGAAGAGGGCAGTGAGGAAGACTTGAATGAAAGGGAATAAGCTGTCAGTGATGAAGACTTCGTTAATTTACCAAAAGAAGTGGTGAAAAACGATAGAGCATGTGAGGGCAGACCAAAAAAGAAGGAGAGGAAGACTGTTTTGAATGAGCTGAAGGTGCAGTACCATAGCCTATACACAAGATCATCACCGAATGTGGTGATGAATGCTTTGGCGAAGTTGACTAACAAACAGCGAGAACAAGTGTATGAAGTGGGCTTTGGATCGTTATTAGAACTAGGAATCCAAGAGTTGCCTTTTAAACTTGGTTATTGGATTGTGGACAACTTCGACCCAATTAGTTGTTCACTGAAGACAGGTAAAGGAAGGAAAGTTCACATCACTGGAGAAGATGTGGAGATGGTTTTGGGATTTCCACGTGGTCAAACAGCAGTGTTAAAGAAGGGGAAAGGGGAGAAAAGTGAAATGGTGGATGAGTGGAGGGCTTCTTTTGGAGGAAAAGATAAGGTAACTCCAATAGAGGTGGCACGTGAAATGCTAAGATGTGAGGAAGGAGGATATTGGTTTGTAAGGAACTTCATAATTCTTGTTATATCTACGTTGATAGAGAATACAAGAAACGGATACATCAACTGCTCCTTCATAAACAATTTGAAGGACACAAAAAAAAATTAAAGATTTAAATTGGTGCGAATACGTGATAACGGCTCTAATTGAGAAGAAAATGGAATGGGCTCAAGGAAAGGAAAAAGCATTCACCGGTCCGCTCATTTTCTTGATGGTAAGTGCATCCTATTTTGATATAAATGTTGTTCAATATGCAGTTTGTGTGATATTTAGGTAGGGTCCTGTTTTATAAAAGGTGTGGTGCATGTATTTAAGATTTGTTCTTTAAGAATGATGAATAATTTGATTTGTTTGTTAATGCGAGTGTATTAAAGTGCATTCGTAGTTACGTGAAAATGCATTTTAAGGACACATAAAATGAATTGGGTGTGATGGAAAACAAGGTGCATAATAGATAAGGCAAAGGTGCAAATGAATGTTGAGTGTGCAAGATTTGATGTGATTGTGATGAAGTTAGTATGCATATTAAAGTACTTGAATATAAAGAGTGTGTGGTATTTAAGTTGGGTCCAGTTTTATAAAAGGTGTGGTGCATGAATTTAAGATTTGTTCATAAGACTGATGAATTAGTGATTTAGTTAGGAATTGTAGTTTCTGAAAGTGCATTTACAGTCAAGTGAACTAGCATTTTAATGGCCATATTAAGTGATATTTTTTGTGAGGGAAAACAATGTGCACAATACTTAAGGTAAATCTAGAAATCAATAATGAGTATACAAAATTTGATGTGCTTCTGATGAAGTTAATATTCATATGAATAGCATTAATAAAGTTGAAGTAATTCTTTTATTCATATATTTTGTAGGTGTTATATGTGGATAGGATGGTGGTATATAGAAGAAGCGTTCCAAGGAAGGTTCCAGCTCTAATAGGATGGAACACGCCGTTATTGAGGGAGAGAGAATCAGAAGAAATAGAGGCTGGAGGATTTGGTTTAGGGTATCTAGACGAGAAGATGACAATCACCCGAGAGACCGGGAAAAGTGTCCATGCTGAAGACAAAACAGAGGATGTGGGAAAGCCCTCGACAGCACCGGGTACAGAAGAGGTATAGGAAAATAATGTGTTTATGTGCAAACAGAAGACTACATGTGGGGTGCACTTATTTGTATTGTAGCATGCTTATGAAGGAGTTAATGTGCAGATTAGTTATTTTGATGTGCAATTATGTTTACTGTTGTGTGCTTGACTCTTCCTTTTCCAAATTGTTGCTTCTAAGTTAGCGAAAACTTAATTTATCTTCTTTTTTTTTGCAAATTACAGGACGTTCGGAAACGCTTTGCTAATAAGACCATGACATTTGTTAAGAAAATGACTGAAATCATGAAGATGTTAGATGAAGCTCCTGATGTACTTCGTGGAAGTGAAGAGTTCAAAGAGTTAGGTGAAGCGACGAATATGTTGATGGCTGTTTTACAGAAGCATTCTCAGGATTTTCCACACCTACACAGATGGACAGGGAGATGGAGGTATTTTGGTCGAACCCGTTCAACCTTGAAATCTTAGCACACGCTGAGGTGGATAGTATAAAGAGAACAAACGTTCCTCAAAGGAGGGAAGATCTGCCAACATTTAGTATAGGTCTCACACAAGACATTGCACCGAATGAAGTAAGAGATGATGCTCTTCTGGGGTTTGAGAAGAACAATATACAAGAAAAGGGGAAGGACAAAGCCGATGGCAGTGTGCAGTTTGTTTTAAATGACGAAATGGTAGCGGGTGGGGGTCAATCCCTTGCCGGAAATCAGAAAGGTAATAAAAAAACTTTAAAAAGGAGTGATGTTTTGATTGAGTGCAGATGAACTGTAAGGTGTATGCAAATTTTGTTTGCTTGAAAAGTGAAGAGTACTATTTCTGTTAATAGTTTTTTACATGAATGCCAACAGGAGATTGTAGAGACAGAAGAATTGGGGCAGCTAAAAAGAAAACAAACTGCTGGAGCTACAATGAAATCACCCTACTTAAGCAGAGTTATCGATCCAAGTGATGCATTAACCGTAGTTGAACGCGCAATGGGCGGTTGGATACTTCTTGACGTTGATGGAGATGCGTAAGTGCACTGTGAAATCCAAATTTTATTTTTACTTTAAACATGTGGGAAAATATTAGTGCATGCACATAACTAATTGAATGCAAACTGTATGGGAATGAGGTTATTTTCAAAGGCTTTAACCAATTGAAGCTTACCCGCGGACAACTGATGAGCATCAAGGATGGTTGCCACATTGAGGAAAGTGTAATCAATGCTTGGGCATTCACGCTAAATTGTAAAGAGAAAGACCGAAGCAGTGATTCTACCAGTAGAGTATTTGCTAAAGTCTTGCCCTGTGTAAGTACACATTAAAAAATAACTAATTGTTTTGTTTATTTATTTTAAATTGTATTTAGTACACAATGTATGAATATTACAGCTGAGTTTAAGTACTTTGGAATTGTGTTGTAGCTTGAGACACAGGCAGACCTGGGATTGAGTGCTGACAGTGCTTACCCCCTTTTTGTGGAAGCCATTGAATTTGGGTTGGAAGCAATAAAAGTCAACACTGCACTTTCAAAAGTTGATTTGGTATGCATGTTTTATTGAATTATAATGCATTGATATTAATTTGCAAATTGTAAAAAATGGTTATTTTGGTGCAGTTTTTCTTCCCGATCATGCAAGTGCATCACTGCTATGTACTTTGTCTGAATACTAAGCTGAAGCGTGTGGATATCATTGATAGCTCATCTGCTAGAGCGCGCAATATTGATAAATACAGGGAAATGCCTCAAATAGTGGTACACAATAATATTATGTAGCTAGTACTTAGGGTAAGGTGCACTATCGTAATTTTTTTGTACGTGATAAATTAAATTATTTGTGTGTTGATGAATATGTTTGTGAAGTACATGGATTCAAGAAATATGATGACCAAATCTGAGAAAGTAAGGAAGGCAACACCAAAGAGGCTAGGAATGGAGTGGAGGCAGACGAAGAACTTGTACGACTACGGCATTTTCACAATGCGGCATATGGAAACATATCAAGGTCAAGGCTTGCAAGGATGGAATATTGGGCTGAAGGAAACAGACACAAAACTGGTAGGGATGTTACGCGTGAAGTACATTTCTGCAATTCTCCTGAATGAAAATAATGAGTACATGCAGTCAAACATAGTGAAGGCAAGGAATTTTTCAAAGAAAGCTAAAGAAGAGAAACAAATGCTGGCAGACCGAAAGAAGGGAGCAGCGGCCAATTAGTGAATTTAGTGAAATTTGAAGTTCACATCTGTTTGACTATGTTTTCACATTACAGTTTACAATGACGTATTTGGATTTTTAAATTAAAAAAAGGTTTGTACTTATTGTTTGTGTGTGATTCAATTTCTTTCTAATATATGTTCAAGGTTTACATGAGTTTTCTTTAATTTGATTTATGCTTGTAGTTAATTTAATTAAATTGCATAACATCCAATATTTTCAAATAGTAATTAATTTTGCATGAGATAATCGATTGTGAATGTATAGAATTCAAAGTAATTAATAATGCAGCATGTGTAAATCCAGGGTGCAGTTGAATATATTTTCTGGTGCAAATTATTGGGCTATTGCAACATTTGTGATTGAAGTGTGCACTTTAGAATATGATCCTGTGAATTTTTTTTTTAATTACATTTGTGTAAATGTATGTTGCAATTACAAGTAATTTGGAGTGCAACTTAAGTTATAATTACATTTGTGGATATATGGTGCACTTAGGAAAAATTACCTTTGTGAATTAAGTTGTAATTACATAGTCTATTCCATTCTAGTCGCGTATTTACTGATCAAAAAATAAAGAAAAAGCACCAAAGTATGGGGAAACAAATTGAACGTATATGAGTAGTCTTGGATGGTGTAGAAATGCAAGGTGCACATAAGTGTATTCGAATATGCATACAAATGATGTTTACAAATGATGTAATTTATAAAACACAAAACAATATTCGCAGACATAATTTGTCAAAAGTCTAGATCCAACGGGGTAAAAAACAAAGATAATCCAGTAGCTATTTATTCAACGGACAATTCCGGCTATCATGATGGCTCATCTCATTGCACGAACGACAAAGTCTCTTGGGACGTTTAGATTCTTGGATAGAAAGATCTTTGGAAGACTTGATCCTACGTCCTCAACCTTTATTCCTGGCCTGTTGTGGAGGATGAACCGTGATGACAGAAGGCGCAGTGGAACCATAAAAGGACTCAAATACTGACTGCTTCGTTGATGACTGTGCAACCCCGCTCTGAAGGGAAAGAAGAGTCTCTTTCTGATCTTTAATAATGCCTGAAAACTGTTGCAAGTAACTTGGGTTATTTTCAACAAGAGCCATGCATGCATATATATCAGACCATTGAGAGTTCAAACACATCTTATTCTCCTGTAACGTGACATTTTGCTGAAATACAGAATCAGAGATTTTGGACAACGGTTTGATTAAACCCTTCTTACACCAACGGGTATTAACTAAATGTTCTGGAATCTGTTCAACTTTCAAATCTTTTAAGACAAGAAAGATGTGACGACAAACCAAACCAATCCGCTGGAAGAATTTACAACTACACTCCGCCTTCATATCTGAAATTTCAAAATGAACTTTAAACACCAAATTCGGATCATCACGAATTTCATAGTCAAAAACACCATCACGGCCATCAAGATGTAACACGCGACATGCAAAAAGATTGAAATCTATCCATCAAAAATCTAAAACCGAAGGCGAAGATTGAATATAAATTAATTGTGGTAGCATGGTAATTAAGATGAACTTTGAAGGGTTATTATAATGGTAAAAGAAACCGTTTAGCACTAAGGGTAGATGTGTAAAACTCATGGTCAATTAATTTGGATAATAAATGACGGCCACTCAAATTTCCATATAAATAGGATCAAAGTATTAAATGTTGGACAATCTATTAATACGGACCACACTTTTCATTGCATAGTTGACTTATTTAGCTTATGTGTGTTATTTTAAATAATAAATAGATGCAATCAAAATATTATACCAAGTATGAAATTTGTCGATTGCATGGATCGATGCACAATTAATTATATAAATTTGCACTTCCGAGTGGTGAAGGTTGCACTCACTGTTTCTAAACTAATGCAGTGAAGAAGTAGGATCAATTTTAACTGATTTGAATCATATTATTAAGTTCTCTTTCATAATAGTATTAGCCTGTACTTAACCTTCACATTAATTTGTGTACTTTCATAGATTTAACATAAAAATAAAAATTAAACAAAAATTTATATAAATATACATGGATATATGCTGCAATTTATCTACTATAATGTGCATTTAAATATATGCAAAAGTGCATTATTAGTGACACTTTATAAAATTCTATATTGATACTTGTATGTCATTAGTTTGCACCGTGTACACATTATGTTGCACTTTATTCATAAACTACTGCCTGTAAGAGTTGTGCACACTCATATATAAGAGTTATGCACACTCATATGCTTTAAACAAAAATTAATATCAATATATAAGAGTGCAAACTATCAACTAACAAGAGCACTTTAAATAATATTATTATATTCAAAAGTGAATATATATGTATGTCCCTATTATGCACTAAAAATTCAGTATATAAAAAAGAAGCATCATACTTCAACACAATGCAACAAAAATATCTAAGAATCCTAATTCAAAAACAATAAGTAAATTTAAAAGTTTCGTGTAAATGATCATGATTATGAATAAAATACAATACATTTTTTGGCAAAATAAAACACAATACAATCGACATACACACACGTTATCAAGGTGCATAGAAGAATATACTAAAAAACTAAAGATAGCCGGTGGTGGAAAATTAAAATACAATCAAATAGAAAATAGAAAAATAAATTAAATAAAGATTAATTAAAAGTAATATGATAAATCTTATCAAAAGAAAAAAGATATCAATACAAAAACACACTCACACGTAAGTCAATTAACTAATTATAAAGATGTGGCATTAATTGCATGCAGTGATTGATACGGAGTATTAAATATAGAAATATTCGTAAAAAGACCAAAGCACCCTATAAGTGTATACACGTTCCATTGAAAAAAATTGATGATCTAAGGGTTGTGATTTATTCTTTTTTCTCTCCTAAGATGGTTTTCTCACTTGAACCTAAATCTATATATATATATATTATATATATATATATATATATATATATATAGAGAGAGAGAGAGAGAGAGAGAGAGAGTACTTTTCCTATCCGGCGTGGCCGAACAGTAGTTTTCATGCAAAAATCATTTGACGACCTTCCCGGTTGATTTTTTTTCTCAAATTTGGTATGGATAAACTAGACTTGATGAGAAAGATGCACAAAACTTTTCAGCGAAAAATACCTCCCGGAACCACCTCAAATTGAGGTGGCCAGATAGGGAGTTCCTCCGGCCTGGCCGGACAAGAACTTTCGTAATATATATAAGAGATCAAATAAAAACCATGCTTAGAATACTAACCTACAAACTCAATAATATGTAGCACTTTGAACTTCAATATGCAGTAAAAATAATGTAAAGATGCAAGGTGAGACCACATACAAACTAGTTCTTTCATTCAAATCATCTTTACATTATTTGTATTGCACATTGAAGTTCAAAATGTTTCATATTATTCAAGCCATAAAATAGCATTTTCATATTTACATTATTTGTATTGCATATTGAAATTCAAAGACTGCATCTTTACATTATTTGCACTGCATATTGAAGTTCAAATTGTTGCATATTATTGAGTTTGTAAGTTAGTAAATTAAGCGTGGTTTGTATGTGATCTCACCCCTATATATAGGGAACGGTTCCGGTAAGAACGGACTCCCAGGAGAGAACTAAGAACGAATTTGGACTGTTGGATTGTATTATGTAATTTGTGTGGAACAGAAATGTGCATTGGATGAAACTGAAATGTGTATTACATGATACTGAAATGTGCGGAATAAAAAGTTAAACTCAATTGTGCATTTGGTGAAACTAAAATGTGCGAAATAAAATGTACAAAAATAACATCATATCGTACCTTTTATTCTGCACATTTCAATTTCACCCTAGTGCACATTTCAATTTCACCTAATGCACAATTCAGCTTCACTTAATGGAGTTAATGACATTGTATCATACGCTTTGTGTTGCACATTTCAATTTCACCTAATGCACGTTACAGTTTCATCTAATGCACATTGAATTTCACTTAAAGCAAATCTAACGGTCCAGATTCGTTCTCCTTTCTCTCCTAAGATCATGTTCTTATTTGAACCAAAATATATATATATATATATATATATATATATATATATATATATATATATATATATATATATATATATATATATGCAAGCACAAAAAGCAGAATTTGAATCAAATAATAAAAAAGTCATAATGTGAGAGACAATAATAATATTCGTACATTTGATTTGAGGTCTAATTACTTTATAAGGGTCAACAATGTAACAATTTAAGTTAAAAAGGCGGTAACAATTTTGTAAACAAGTAAAAAAATTATCACTGAGAAAGTACAATGTAGCATAAGAAAATTGAAGATTTCACATTCCTCGCATTACACACTATTTGAACAACATTTCATAAAAGCTATATAAACTGTTTTTACCATATTCCTACTCGGTCAACATAGTAAATTAGATAGATTTATGCTTTTAACGTCGCATTTCTTTTTAATACAAGTGTACAGTGTACTGCATACAATAATCTATATATATATAAAAACTCAATAGTCTGTAGGGAATTGGGCGGGAAGTATTGTATAAGGAAGCAGCCGAACAGATGTTTTAATAACTTTGAAAAAAGCTTCGTAAAATCTTGGTAAGTTAAAACAATAAAGCAAGACAAAACATTGAATGTAGACGTTGTAATCGGATGATGATTGGCGGTGCAATAAATCACAATTACAATAATTGTCTTGAATTTGTCGATAACTTGAAAAAAGCTTCGTAAAATATGTATAAGCCTTTGCAGTTCCCAAAAACTAGATGCTACCTCCATTTTAGCCGAATTTGATGCTTATTTTCCTGCTTCCCTACACATTGCTATATATGCAATTACATGTGTGTGTATAGCTCGCTGGGAGTGAACTGAGATTGAGAAAAAATTATCATTTAGAGATTGATACTGGTGATTTTTGTTGATACTGTCTTTCTATATGGAAAGGAAAGCCTTTGGAGAAATATGGGTATAGGCACAAAGCCTTTCAGTTGAATTGAGAATGGAGAGCAGGTAATGACGAAATAAAGAGGCAGTAGCAAGTAGTTGTGGGGTTGTGTGACTAACCCGCACAGGTAGCTCAGTTGGTCGAGTGGTGAGAAATATAGACCAAGTGACCAAGACTCGAAACCCACAACGGCCGTGTGAATATTACAGAACCTGAAATAAGGCTGGACCTCTGGTGCGCACGTGTATAAGGCCTACCGCCGCTTTACGAAAATTCGGTGCTTAACAGGCCATATTTTGAATTCAAACTAAAAATAAAAAATGAAAACCGAGATTCTCATATCATTCACAACTATTCATAGTCACTTAAGTTTAAAAATTCAACATAAATTACTTGACTAATGGTGCATTTTTTGTCACTACACTTAAAGCCAGTTTTTTTAATAAAAAATGTAACTTTTGATTTCGCGCACGGAATTATGTAATAAGAATAAAAAGTAAGTTTGTAGTTATTGTTCTAGCTGTATAATTGTATTGGCTGAAGTTTTTGTAGAGGATCATTTTAGCTATTTTTTAATATAATTTTTTATTTTATTTATTAATAACAAATATTTTAGATATAATTTTTTCATGAATCAGCAGAATCAGCCAACGCAATCACTTCTGACAGAACTTTATAAATTTCAGCAGAATCAGTCAATTCAGCCAATTTTAGAAGGTCATATTTTAATAAATAACTTTTATTTTATTTGTATATATGTAATTCTTTCCCTAAAGTAGTATTTTTAAGGTAGAAGCAAGTGCAAACATTAATTGCACACTGAGTACACTTCATTCACCCAAATATTTACATTTAGTGATAAAAATGCTTTCACTAGCCACTCTTTTTTTTACGCTTGAGAACCCGTTTGATAACATCTGTTTTTAGTTTCACATTCTTTTTTTTATCAAATGCTTAATTTTTGACTTTACACACTAAATTCTATAATGATTAAAACAATTAAGATCCGAGTAACTTTTTTAACTGAATTGATTGAAGTTAAAGTAAAAGACTATTTTACCTATTATGAAAAAAAATTATAATTAAAATATACTCCGTATTTATTAAGAAAAAAAAAATGTGAAAAATGACTAAAATAGTGCTCTACAGTAATTTGAGTCAATTCAATCAGGAAAACAATTTCAACTTTATTTTTTTTATATTTTCTCATGCAATTCTCCGTGCATAATTATAAGTTACATGTTCGGTGAAAAATAATTAGACAAAGAGAAAAAGTGGGTTATCAAATGAGCTTATAAATACATGAAAAAAGTATTATGGTCTCTTTAAAAATTATAGGGTAACTATATATACAAAAGATAAGTTCAATATCTATATTCTATGTGTATTATAAAACGCAAAACAGAAGCGGTTTTGGGCGGGAACTGCTATATCCTTAGTGTGCGCCGCCTTCTAGATTATTATTTCAATTGACTAAACACATTAATTATGTTAGCTGAATCTGTGTGTACTTGGCCTCGAAAAAGTATTTTTGACTTCCGCATCTCTTTACCTATTTCCAATGCGTATATGACTTATAGTTTGCTAAAAATGTACGTAGAAGTGGGTGCTGATAAAATACAACACTGACACATCACTAATTGTATTTTAACTACTAGGTTTCTACTTTCCAGTTTCCAATCCTGAATTTCTGAAAGAAGAACGGTGGTCGATTGAGGATTTGGCAAAAAAGCATTATTGAAGATTCCTTATCATTAGAAATTATTATAGTGTGTTATTAATTATTATAGTGTATAATCCGTGGGCTGGTTTAATAATTTTTAGTTTGTAAATATATACGAAGTATATTTTAATTAAAGTTGAATATTTTTTATCAATTACTCCCTCCGTCCCGCTAGAAGATTCCCGTGAACGGTTTACGATGCTTGACTGACGATAAAGCAACTTAATCCCTGTTCACACTCTGATTAGTTTTAGTAAATAAAATTAGTATATTCAGAAACTACATTAAAACCACTACAAAGGCTGATAAAAAAATATAAATTTGATAAAAATTTGATTTATAAAGTAAACGATTAAAAATGATTTAAGTTGACCATGCAAATAGTGGACGGGAACCTTCTAATGGGACAGAGGTAGTAGCATTCATGATATAGAAATAAATGAATAATCACTCAAAAGGTTTAAGTAGATCATTACTTTTGTAAATGAGTATTTTTAATATTCTTTAACTAAACTTAACAAGTATTTTGATATCTTATATTTCCTGTATTACTACATGTCAATATAAATACGTAGTATATACTATTACTAATATAAATATGTACTATTGGGTAATTGCTTTTAGATAATTTTGTTATGTATGTTTTTATAAATTGGTCTGCAGGTTGGCCCGTTTACCCCGCAAGCTAGGTGAGCTGGGCTAGAGTTGTAGAAATTCTGACTCGTCATTAAACGAGTTGGCCCGTCACGTAAAGCATAACCTGTCTGTGTCGGGTTGCACCGGGTTGGCATGTTTGACAACTCTAATTCCCCACTAAATGTTTATACTTTTTTAATGTGTATGTCTTTTTGTAATAAAAATTATATACAAAGTACATATTTAGCATTCTGTAATCTGTATGACAATTTATACATGTTTCTTTTTATTATACTCTTTATTCAAATATTATTTATTGTAATGCATCATAAATAATAACATAAAAACATTATCCCGTGCATCGCACGGGTACAATACTAGTATAGTTAAAGCACTTAACGCACAGGTAGAACCGTAGAATTGTAGAAATACTAGTAAAATACAAAAGGGGTTAATGTTGAGAAATATGGGAGTGAATTAGGCAGGTCTGAGAGAGAGCAATGCATTTCGGATATTTTCAACTGCTGACTGTAATGTGGACAGTGACGCTGCGTAGGAGATTCGAATACAGGTGTCGTCCCCAAAGGCATCACCCGGCACAAGAGCAACCTGTTACATTAATTGGATACACCGGAATATATTCACATCATTTTTAGCTTGTGTGCACTTCATGTGGATAATGCAGTAGTGTAGGAATTTTTACTCTCATGTCACTAAAAGATATGGACTCTCATGTATGACCATTTTTAGTCCAGTATGACACCACAATGTCAAAATAGACAGTGGGTGTACATATAAAAGACGCCAAACCATCAAATTAGGAAGAAAAATATAATACGGAGTAATCATATATCGTGAAAGTGACCACCCTCTAATCACACATGTGGTAACTTTATCAAATACCAGTTAGAAGCCTGGACAACACCTAAACACTACTTTATAACATATCGTCTGCGTTTGGGCTAAGCCCACCACCGGATTTGTTTTTTAGTACTTCTGAGAATGCCTCATACTAGTGAGGTTAAGTAATTTCCCCTTGTTTTTCTAATATGGGACTTGAGTTGCCCATAACCAAACCCCCAAGAATTAGTAAGCGCAATATTGGACAAATCACAAGCAAGATTGAGTTATAGGCAGTATTAGGCACTCTGGAAAGTCATGGGCTCATGGCCTACCATATGACTGTAGTATATGTTGGACCGGGATAACTAATGAACACTAAAGCACTTACTTGAGCTTTATCCAATAGATACCGACATAAGGATTCCGAGTCCTTGATAACACCAAATCCAGCAACTTCTCTTCCATAGTAAGTGCTCAAATCAATAAACAGATAGAAGGCTCCCTGCAACCAGAAAACCAAGTTAATACAATGGTGAATGGCTATGAAGCACAGATACTTCACTAGGGTACCGTATCGACGTATCGGAAACGTTCTCGTATCCAATACTCTAGGATACCCGTACCGTACGTTCCCGGGCCGTATCTGTAATTTTTAAAAGTTTCCATTTTTTGGTAATTATTTTAAAATTTCGGATACTCGTATCCTGACGAATACACATATCAACTTTTTTATATAAAAAAATCTTCCAAAAAAACTTTAAAAAAAACACCCAAAATTCACATAATAAAATTCTTAAAAAATGAAAAGCTAAAAATAATTTTTACCTTGCTTTTATGTGGTACACACCTAAAGCCTATTCCTAATTCATTCATCCTCCTATCCCTAATTCTAGTTATCCCTGGAAATTAATAGCTCCAACAAAAATATGTATTAGAACTTTTAAAATATTGACATTGTGTGTTTTGTATCTTCATTATTCTAGAATTTTGAGTACTTGCACAGTTGCACTTTTAATTTCAAAAGTGAAGTTGTTTGACTTATTTCTCATTTTAAAGTAATGACTTATTGACTATATTTATCTTTCAAGATGCACTAGTGTATATGAGATATAGTATGAATATAAATCTAAGTATTTTGAAAAAGTAAAATGCTTCAATGTCATGAATGGGTTGACGTCGGAGGATAATATATGTGTATTTAAAAAAAATGTATTTTTACTATTTATAAATACATACATCTATAACTTTTAATATTTATAAACGCATCCCCATAACTTTTAATATTTATAAATATGGCTCCGTATTCGTATCCTACTTTATTTGATTTTGTTGTATCCCCGCACCCGTTTCCGCGTTTCCGCGTACCCGTATCGGTGCTACATAGGTGAATGGTCAAAGAAAAAAGTAACGAAAAAACAAAGAATGAAAAAACAAAGAAAGAAAGAGGTATGTGATTAGATCATTAGACCAATAGGTTTTTGGGTCTCTCATCATAAAAGGTTAAATTAAGAGAGGTGTTTCATCCAGCGTTATCACTGCGGCTAGGCAAGGCGTGTCGCCAGCTGACCTCCTTATCGCCTAGGCATCTAGGTGCCCACCAAGGCGACAAATCATGCCATATGTAATACTTAAATATACATTATAATAATATACTACGTACTACGTATTACGTAGTATATTCATATACTAAATATATATATATATATATGTGAAAATAAAGTAGGGTATTTATCTAGAACAAATGTTCATTAAAATGTACTACCTCTGTTCCCATTTTAACTTCCAAATGGGTTTGGCACAAAGTTTAACATAGTGGATATTGTGTGGTGGAGAGTTGTGAAGAAGAGAGAGAAATGTGTAAGAAATGTTGTGAACCACAAATTCTTTACCAAAAAGGGAAAGTGGAAGTTTTAATTGGAACGGACGAAAAAGGAAAGTTGGAAGTTTATTTAGGAACGGAGGGAGTATAATTTTTCACAAATAAACAACATAAAATGGGTAAAAGTTCAGCTGTACAAAGATTGAAAGATTTGAAAAATGGACTCCAGGCTATCTCGAGCTGTACAAGAAATAAAAACAAGAGTAATAAAAGAAAAATATACACAAAACAGTTTACAATAAAAACAATAAGTAGTATTTTAAAAAATAAGATGAAGTCCAGCTGTCTACAAAAGCAAATAAATCTAAAAAATAAGAGCAAAGGCTGAACAGCTCTCGAAGTTAAAAACCCGGGATCTAGAGTAGATGGAGGCGGGGTGGAGTAACAGTCAGGCATTCAACAGCAACCTGAGGCTGCATCCTACTATGGCAACCTACCACGCCTACGAGATGGACTGTTCAAGGGCCTAGGGTTCTGGTTTGATGTTTATAACTCACTATCTCCTAAAACCTAATATTCCGGGTCGGATCGGTGTCGCAATGATGACTTGCAGAAGGCAATTGGATACCCGCACGGGTAGCTCAGTTGGTCGACCGGTGGGAAAAATTGGACGTAGACCAAGGTTCGAATCCCGCAGCGGCCAAAAGGGGTTTTCAGAACTGAGTCACCGTGATTTACTCCCCCACCATCCTGTCGGGTCGGGGTGGGGGGCCCTTGGGGTTGAGGATTCAACCTTTTGGACGCAGAAGGCAATTGGACGCCTAATCGACGCCGAGTTACACATTGGCACTTCAGGCGAGTCGAGTGAGCATGGAGCCACTCCTCCTCTGCCAGGACGACTAGTCAGCGTCCTACAACTATGATTTCATCCTAAAATGTTAGAAGTACCTCACAGCCTTGTATTTTCATATTTTACCGACGTCGAGGTATTAACAAGTTAGACTTGTGAGAATGGAACTCTATATCTCAACATAGTTTATCTTCCATCGAGCAATTCGGTCGTAGTAATGACCTAAAAAATGAGCTCATGAGTTTCAATACTTGTGTCCTCTCGAATACGTCATTATCTTGTGGATCATATTGAGCCTTACACATCAAACAAATACAAAGATAGGCTCATTCACTTTTCCTACTTGACCATTTACAGGAGTAGGATTGTAGGAAGACACATACAACAACATCCAAGCCTTAGTCCCAAAAGAGTTTGGAGTCGCTAACATGAATCGACACATGAAATTTGAGCTAAAAAGATAAGAAAAATAAAAAAAAACACGACATAGATACAATAAAGATAAATATAAGATCAATATAAAAAATGATAAGACAAAAAGGATAATAATATAAGATAAAAAAGGATAAAAGGGCAAAGAACATAAGAAGGGAAAACTGTCAAATAAGCCCCCCTACTGTCACAAAAAAGTCAATTAAGACCCCAACTCATTTATCATCCAATTAGACCCATTAACCCTTATAAAATTTTCAATCCAGCTTTTTTGCCAGTAATTTTCCGGTTCCCAGGTAAACTGTACATGTGGCATGTGACGTGGCATGGCCTTTATCTTTTTCTTTTCTTTTTTCTTTTTTTTCCTCCCTCCCTGGTTCTTGCTCGTGAGTCCTCTTGCGCCCCATTTGTCACCCGCAGCCATCACTCATCAACAAATCCCCACGAATCTATTTCTTCGCTTTTTCTTTTCTACCCACTGTAAACCCCTCCCTGTTTCTTTATCTCTCAATCCGCTTTTCTTCCTCTTTCTTTTCGTTTCAAAGTTATTTCGTTTGAGTCTAGACGCTAAGAAATTATGCTTAATTGGATTTTGATTTATTTAGGCAATTTGTTTAATAGTTTGTGTGTATGTATTATCCGTGTGTATGTCTTTTTTTGTGGGTCGGAGTGTGTGTGTGCGCACTGCGCATGGAGGGGTATCCTGGGCGTACAAAGAAAAAAGGAACAGGGAGGGGGTGTCAAGGTGTACGAAGAAAGAAAGAAAGAAAGAACAAGGAGGGGTATCCTTGGGAGTATGAAGAAAGGACCGGAGAGGAGCGGTCTCCCGGACGGCATAGCAGAGATGGAGGGTAGCGAATGAATCAGATGGAACGAAGGAAGAGAAAGTGAAGAAAAAAGAAAAGGAAAATTAAAAACTTGACACGTGTGTATGCATACCGGAGAACCGGTTGTTTACGTCTTAAAAGGTGGTTTTGATTTTTTTTAAGTTAGTTAGAGTACTTGATTGGATGATAATTGAGTTGGGGTTCTAATTAACTTTTTCGTGATAGTAGGGGGGGCTTATTTGACAGTTTTCTCAACATAAGAAATATATGGAAGACAAAAAGATAAAAGATAAACAAGATGAAAGATGAAAAGATATCAACTCTCCATATGAATATTCTCCCTCCACTTTGCTATCTCCAGTGTCATACTCTCATCCAATAAAAAGAAGCATATCACTCATGACTCCTCTAATTTATACTACCTCCGTCCCGAAATAATCGTCCTAGTTTGACTTTCACACAGATTAAGAAAGTGAAGTTGACTTCACACTGTAGCGACACTGTTTGGCACTGTAGCGACACTGTTTGACACTGTAGTGACACTGTTTGGCACTGTTTTGCACTGTTTGACACTATTTTGTATAGATTTGTTTACCAAATATGGAAAGGAGACAATTATTTCGGGACGGATCGAAAAGGAAAGCAGGACAATTATTTCGGGACGGAGGGAGTATTTGTTTGGATCTTTCTCTCCGACTCTTGCTCACTTCTTCTCACTACCTCTCAACTCGTCTAACAAGTGCATTGCCCAATCTTCTACGCACATGACCAAACCACTGCAATCGAGACTCTCGCATCTTATCTTCAATAGGTGCTAGTGTGCTACTCTCATTTTATCTGAATATCTCATTCCTCAAGCGGTCTGTTGAAGACATTCATATTTCAACTCATGTCATGTGATGTGACTAAGTGATACTATTAGCCATTACACACCTACAACAACACCCTCTTTTATTTTGACTTGGGACATACATGATATAAAAAATGAACTCATGGCAAACAGGGGCGGACCTACGGTATAATGAGGGTAAGCACTGGCTTCACCTCAAAAAGCTTCACTAGCCTATGTGGTAGTAGCATAAAATTTAGATGCTTCATTAGGCTTCACGTCAGTGGTTCGAATCCCCCTAAGGCTACACCCAATTTTTTTTAAAACTTCTCAAGTAGCATATGGGCCATGCGAGTGGGCCTTTATTTTTTCTTTGGTTGACTGGATCCAAATGATACGTAGTGGGCTAATAATTTTAATCAAAACAGCTGCCATTTTGCACTCATTTGAAATCCCTAAACCTATTCTCAAAAATCAAAAGCTCCTCTTGTACGTACTAACGTACGTATCTTTGCAGCAGCACACAAGCCGGCAAATGGGCAATGGCTATGAGCTCCTTAGCTTAGAGCTTAGCTCTATTCCAGGTTTTTTATTCTCTAACATTATTAAAGCTTAGTAGATATTAGTTATGGTTATAATTCATTTAATTTTCGAAATTATTATTGTTATTAACAGTGAAACAATCAATCTATTTATTTAAATATGTATTATATAATTTATCTGTGGGTGAAATTGCAGGCAATACTCAGTAGAGGACCGGCTGGAAATCTGGAATTCACATTCACTCAACTTCTCAAGGTTTTATTCATTTTTTTCATAAATTATTAAAGCCTAATTAATATTATTGTTAATATTGTATTTTTTAATCTCTAGTACTTAAACGTACTTCACATTTAAACAACCAGTACTGTAATTTTACTTTTGTATGTTATTAATTTTATATTTGTAACTAGGGGGAAATAACAATAACCAATTTTGAATTTATATTTTTTTCGTTTTTCAGTTAGTATATTATAATATTAATATTGATATATTCTAGTGTTCATATTTATAATCAGATTTTGATTTATACATTTTCTGTAGATACAATGTCCATGTATAATTTTGTTACCGTTACAAGAGGAAGTTGTGATGTAATTCATAATGAAGCTAGCGGGTCCCGTTCTTTTAAGCAACCTAGGATTGAGGTCAATTTAGATGATTTGCCAACAGACCCAGGATTACGTCCAAAAATTTGTAGTTATCATCCAAATGATCAAGATAAAGTGAGAAGGTTTTATTTGCAAAAAGGGCCTTGTCAGCCGCGCACTCATAAGTTTCCTCAACGAATAATTGGTACTAAGTCCAGAAGATTTTGCCCCTCTTGGTTTAATGAATTTGAAACTTGGTTAGAATATAGCATAGATAAGGATGGAGATGCATTTATATTTCCTTAACGAATATTGTTTGTATTGTTATCTGTTCAGAGCTAACTTTGGAAAACAGTCCGGTGGAGATGCATTTATTACCACAGGATTTTCTAATTGGAGTGTTAAGGGTAGACTTCAGAATCATGTTGGAGGGCCAAACAGTGCACATGATATTGCTTATAGAAGGGGTGAAGATTTGATGAAACAAATCCAACATATTGATGTTGCCATCCTCAAACAATCTGATCAAGTTCGTGAAGTATATCGGCGCCGATTATCTGCTTCACTTACTTGCATTCGCTTCCTTTTGAAACAAGGGTTACCTTTTCGCGGCCATGATGAATCTGATACATCTTCTAATCAAGGTAACTTTCTTGAACTTCTAAAGGTTCTTACGTCTTGTAATGAAGATATAAAAAAATGTGTTTTACAAAATGCCCCCGATAATCATCGCTTAACTGCCCCTAAGATTCAAAAAGACATTGTTCATGATGCTGCTACAGAGACCATCAAAGCAATTATTAATGACCTTGGCAATGAATATTTTTCTATTATTGTTGATGAGTCTCGGGATGTATCCATCAAGGAAGAAATGGCCATTGCTTTACGTTATGTTGACAAAAATGGAAGCATTGTTGAGCATTTTATAGGGGTTGTTCATGTTAAGGATACAAGTGCTTTGACTTTGAAGAAGGGGATTGATCTAGTATTTAGTAAGTATGGATTAAGTGCATCAAGGATACGAGGACAGGGTTATGATGGGGCTAGCAATATGCAAGGTGAATTTAATGGGCTTAAGAGTTTATTTTTGAAAGAAAATCCATCTGCTTTCTGTATTCATTGCTTTGCTCATCAGTTGCAATTGACTCTTGTTTATGTTGCAAAAACACATGAGCATGCTGCTTTGTTTTTTGGTTTAATTTCTACACTTATCAATATTGTTGGGGGGTCGTGCAAGCGATACGACTTGCTTCGTGAAACACATGCAGCTAAAGTTAAAGAAGGAATTGAAAAAGGTGAAATTCAGACTGGGCGAGGCATGAATCAAGGAATTGGTTTGAAGCGAAGTGGTGAAACTCGTTGGGGTTCACACTACGGCAGCTTGATTAGTTTAGTTCAAATGTATTCCTCGATGATTGATGTTCTTGAAGTTATAAAAGAAGACGGGGTGACTTCAGATCAAAAGGGCGAGGCTATGCGACATTTAGACTCTATACAAACTTTTGATTTTGCATTCCTTTTGCATTTGATGAAGACCGTCTTGGGAATTACAAATGAACTATCTCAAGCATTGCAAAGAAAGGATCAAGATATCCTTAATGCGATGCAATTAGTAACTATTGCAAAGGGTCGCTTGCAAGATATGAGAGATAATGGATGGGATCCATTATTGGAGGAAGTGTCTTCATTTTGCACAGTTCATGATCTTGACATTCCTAATATGGAAGATAAATTTATACCAAAAGGCAGGTCACGACGCAAAGCTAAGGATATAAAATATTGGGAGCATTATAAGTATGACTTATTCTATACAATTGTGGATATGCAGCTTCAAGAACTTAATTACCGTTTTAGTGAGTCCAACACTAAGCTGCTTCTTTGTTTGAGCTGCTTGAGTTCAGACGAGTCCTTTGAAGCATTTGACAAGCTCAAGTTGATTGAGTTTGCTAACTTTTATCCAAGTGATTTCTCTAGTTTGGAGTTGGTAGTTCTTGAAAATCAGTTGGAGACTTATATTATTGATATGCGCAGTAATGATGAATTTTCAGACTTGAAAGGAATTTCTTGCCTTGCAGAGATGTTGGTGAAGACGGGAAAACATCGTGTTTATCAATTAGTTTATTTACTTCTGAAGTTGGCATTGACATTACCTGTTGCTACCGCCAAGGTTGAAAGAGCCTTTTCAGCGATGAAAATTGTGAAGACCGAGTTGCGAAATCGGATGGGAGATGATTATATGAATGATTGTTTAGTTCCTTATATAGAAAGTGATGTGTTTGATAGCATTGATGATGAGTTAATTATTCAGCACTTTCAAAATATGCAAGCACGCCGAGGACAGCTATAAAAGGTACATTTTCTTTTACTATATCTATACATTTTATTTAGCTTTTTTTAATTCATGTAATATACTATTAGTTTTATTTATGTGCATACACTGAGCTTCGATGCCTAGATCCGCCACTGATGGCAAAGTTTGTAGGAAGACATGTAGAGCTATTAATGAGTTCACTTACCTGAGGTTCTGAAATCTTAACACCCTCTATTTCCCGAAAGCTTTTAACAAGAAAATCTCGTCGTTCGCGGAAAGCTTTTACCATAGCTGCAACTTCTTCTCCACCAGCATAGCCCAGCCCCAAGGCAGCAAGACCTGCCTTTTGTGAAACACTGCTGGCACCGGAGGTGAACTATGATAATTTAGATAATAGCAGCAAAAAACTGGAGCTGGTTAGACTAAAAATCTATCAAATCTTTTTATATAGACTCTTTTATAAAATTCATGATGCAAGCATACCTGACTCTGGATCTTATTGCACGCAGCAACAAAATGTTTAGGGCCAGCAAGATAACCCAGTCTCCAACCAGTCATTGCAAAGGCCTATAACAGCAACCCACACACATAAGCAACTCCTAAACACTCAGTTAATAGCCAAATCCTGGACCCCAAATTTTTAGAATTTGGTATGGGCAAAAAAACAATTCATTCATATAAACTTTTACACATAATCTTTTTACCAATCTTGGAGTGGACCTAGTGTTTCCCCCTAGATATCCCCGACAGGCCGACACACAAACATGCTCACACATGCAACACACACACACACAAAGAATCACCTTAGAAAATCCATTTACGGTGAGAGTCCTCTCATACATTCCCGGCAAAGATGCAAAGCTTGTATGAGTTGCTGGTGAATAAATAATATGCTCATAAATTTCATCAGAGAGCACCTGGGGGAGAGAAGAGAGGGAATTGTTAGTATTATAATAATATACAAATTTCATATCAGCATGTTGAAGATGAGGGGGAGGGGGGAGTGTTACCAACAGCCTTGGATGTCTTGCTACAATAGCAGCAATGTCTTCGAGCACTTCCCTTGGATAGACAGATCCAGTTGGGTTGGATGGAGAGCACAGAATCAATAGCCTTGACTTCTCAGTCAGCTTAGACTCCAGAAGCTTCGGATCCATTATGAAATTGTTGGATATCTTGGTAGGAATGATCACAGGGTTAGCATCTGCTAACCTTGCCATTTCCGGGTAACTAACCCAGTATGGTGCTGGAATGATAACCTGTACAATTTAAAAAACAAAACGCTTTTTAGAAAGTAAAAAGAATAAAAATAACTGAAGGTTTGACCTACCAATGAATAAATAACCCTCTTTTTTCTTCACAAAAAGAAAAAATCGACAACAAGCGTTTAATGTGATCAGAGAGGTAAAAGATAAACCTCATCTCCTGGAGAACATATTGCCAAGACTGCCTGAATAATACTTTGTTTAGCCCCGTTGCTTACCAAAATCTGATCAGAGGTAAAAGATAGCCCATTCTCCTCTGCATTAAAGAAAACTATCAAGAAATTGAAGGGGTAGAAATAAATAAAAGTATCGCTCTGATTAAGGAAAAAAGAATAAGGGAACTTGAAATTACCCTTTAACTTATGACAAATAGCAGAACGAAGTTCAGAAGTTCCTGCATTTGGTGTATACCTAGTGTATCCATCACGAATCGCATTAATACCAGCCTAATTGCACAAGATAAAATGGTCAACAATGTTAAATTGGGCATATAACTCACCCTAAATAGATTGTTGTATATTAAGACAGTAAAGTACCTCAAACTTATATAATAAACTGAAACTCATTAGACAACTAACGTAGGATACTTAAGACAACCCGCCAATCCAAGACGGATTTGACTAGTGATAGGGTGAACAAATGGGTCAAAACCAATCCCTAACACGTTGCGCACAAAACCACCATCTGACTACGCTTTGATCCCATATTACATTGGTCTTTGCTCACCCCCAAAACAATAAACAAGATTTGAGGTTTACGGCACCAGTATATACTACACTCAAACCCAAATCTACTAGACAAATGATGTGAGATAATCAACATAACAATGAAAATATGGTTGATTATCACATTATGTAGGACAATTTAAAAAAATATTTGATGTTATCAAGCGATGGCAATAGTGTAATACCTCAGCTATAGAAGCAGGAGTATCAAAATCAGGTTCCCCGGCAGCCAATCTAATAACAGGCACTCCAGCTTGAACTAGGGCAGTTGCTTGATCAGTAATAGCCACAGTTTTTGAGGGCTTCACCGAATTCACTCTCGGGCTCAGAGAGATATCAACTTCCACACTGCTGCAAGCTATGGCAGCCAAATTTACTCTACTTGATAACAAATGATTCATTGGATGCAATGACCTAGACAGGAGGCCAACATGAAGATTAGCATCTTGAAGCAAATTATGATATATGAGTAATAATTATAAATAAAGAACTTAAGATTTTAGCCAAGACGGATCACATCATTCAATATGGTACTGTATTAGAGTGAAAGCAAAGGTCATATTTCAAAGCTTTACATCCCTCTGTATTAAAATTTATTTTTATGTTTGATTGTTTGGTAAATGAATGAAATGTTCAATTTTAACACGTGATATGACACAAAGGCTTGTTGAGGAGTTGATATATAAAAATAAACTATATATATTTAGTCCAACCACATTTTATGTTTTTTAGTTGAAATCACAAACAGAAATGTTGGTTGACCACTTGACCACTAACAATAAATCAATATGATAAATATGTTCAATTTACTAAGCCTCACTGTTTGGCTATCAATAGCCACATATTATGATTTTTAGTTGAAATCGCCACAAAAATGTTGGTTGGCCACTTGACCACCACCAATAAATCAATAAGATAAATATGTTTAATTTACTAAGCCTTATTGGCTATCAATAGCCCAGTTGGGAGTTCAATTGAAGAGTTGAAGCTCTAATATTAGTCAATTACTCAATTGCACATAATACATTTTACGAGACCAACTTATGTTTGATTGAACAAGTGAATTATCTATAAAAAGTGGATAAATGTAAAATTGGAAAAGTTTATCCCCTTTGAATCTGGAAAACAAAAGGGTAACGTTGGGAAGGAAAGAGGAACAATAAAGGATAGACTTAATATTATTTCATGTTTTCCTATTATGTGAATTGTGCGCCATTTTCCCATATGCTTGAGGGACTAACTTAAACTCACATTACCTTTACAGGATGTAATCACTCTCAGGAAGAAAGATAATTGTTTTTTAGCGTTCAAACGGGCCACATAGCAGCATACCTTGATTGAGCCAAATGAAAACCAAAAGAATTTGACGAAAGTCACGAAACCCGTGATTTTAGCCCTTATGCATCAATTGGTTACTTTTAGTCCTATTTGTTATGGATTAACACCTGCAGTTTCTCACTATCTAGGTACCATACTTCGAGTATGAATCCGAAATTCCAACCTCGCATTTCTAAATAATTTTTTTCTTCATTGTTACTCTTATGAGTTATGATCATGCAGTTCTTTCTTGAGAATCATCTATGCCACATATGCCCACACTACTGGACATGTGAGATTTGTATTACTCTAGGACTTATGACCCCTGCCTAGCCGATATGTTTCTTAGCCAACATTTTTCTCTAAATTGAGTAAATTAATAATCAAACATGTAAAGATAGCTTGGCAAGTTTGAGATGTTCTCACACACTTGTCATAGCTTGGTATTATATTTATACAACTCAACTCTTCTAAAAATAATACATCTTGATCTAATTGCTATAAAAATAATATTCGGCATTTTCCATCGTGTATTTCAAGTCACAACACTAGTTTTATACTCCCTCCGTCCCCCTAACTTTATCCCGTTTTACCTTTTTCGTGTGTCCCATTAAGTTTGTCTCATACCATATTTGGTAATATTTGAATGGTTACAATTCATTCTTACTTTATTCACACTTTACCAGTTCAATACCAACCACACAATTCCACTTTTCTTAAAAAACCGCACCACACCCTCTTGTCCCAATCTTAGGGGGACAGGGGTAGTAATAAAAACTGTAAGCACATAGGTATTCTTTAGAATCCCTAAGATAAATTTTAGGTTGCACTCAAAGAAACTATTAAGTTTGGGAGATTTTCACACCATATCAGTACCAAATCCAGGGTGGATGAAGTGGAAGAGTGAGTTAGATGGAGATGTATCCCATAGAATCAGAACAGGGTGGATGAAGTGGAAGAGTGCGTCAGGATTTCTATGCGACCGAGGTATGCCGACTAGACTGAAGGGTAAATTTTATAGGACAGCAATTAGGCCTGCATTACGGTATGGCGTAGAGTGTTGGACGGTGAAACAATGTCACATTCAAAAGATGAGTGTGGCAGAGATGCGCATGCTGCGTTGGATGTGTGGGCATACTAGGAAGGACCGCGTGAGGAATGAGACAATCAGACAAAGGGTGGGAGTAGCACCTATTGAAGACAAGATGCGGGAGTCGCGCCTGCGGTGGTTTGGTCATGTGCGTAGAAGACCGAGTGATGCACCTGTTAGGCGAGTTGAGATGTGTGGAGAAGAGGCAGGGAAGAGAGGGAGAGGAAGACCCAAACAGACGTGGGTTAGGGGAGTTCGAAGTGATATGCTTCTTCTGGGGTTGGATGAGGGCATGATTTTGGAGAGAACTAAGTGGAGGGCGGGTATTCACGTGAAGGAGTGATCTTGATAATCTTTTTCCCTCATCTTTTTTTTCCCTAGTTTTTTTTTATCCTTATATATATTAGCATTATTTGAAGCCTTTTTATTTTATCATTTTTATATATTTATCTTTTTTTATATTATCTTTTCATAATAGCTTATCTTTTTATCTTTATTCCTTCTTTTCCTTTTGGTTGTGATATCATGTATCGATTCATGTTAGCCGACCCCAATATCTTTTGGGACTAAGGCTTGGATGTTGTTGTTGTTGTTGTTTTATCAGTACCAAATCCAATTAGCAAAAGTACATTCTTTGAGAACTCTAAATCTCCAATAGTTCCCAAATCCCAATTGAGACAGAATTAAGGGCCTGTTTCGCAAGGGTTATTTCATAAAGATGGTTAAATTTGAAGACTTTTAAGACACAGGAAGTGTTGGGTATTAATCATTTCAGCAAAATATGTAAGTGAATACCTACTTTTGTGTATTTTGAGGATAATTAGCAGGCTAAACAGAATTAGCTAGAACTAGCTTCCAAATGGACTCCAAATCCTTTCCTTACTCTCTTTCCTAAGGTAAGTCAACCCATGATTAATTTCTTTTGTCTCTTTTCTCTTTTTCTTTTTCTTTTATCTTTTTATCTTTTTTGTCTTTCTTATGTTCTTTTGTTACTTTATCTTTTATCTTTATGATGTTCTTTTATTGTATATTTATCTTTATCTTATCCTTTTTATCTTACCTTATCTTTTTTTCTTAATTTTCTTTCTTTTTGACTCCGATATCATGAATTGATTCTTGTTAGTCGACCCCAAAATCTTTTGAGAATAAGGCTTGGATGGTGTTGTTGTTGTTGAAGTGAACCCATGATTAGTCTACAACCCCCAATGTTGGGAAAAGATAGTGCAAGTAAAAGAATTACAAATAATAAGGAAAATGGAGAAGATTTACCTTAGGGTAAGAGAGCGGATCTGGGAGGAAAAAGAGAGTTGTGATCCGAAGCTCTTAAAATCTGAGAGAGTGGAAGTGGGCTTGTAATCAACTTTAGGGGATGATGAAGAGGACAGGTATAGATGCAGAGAATGAGACGCCATTGGCATAAGGTGTGCTTTATTCCCAACTTGAGAGACAATTGAAGAAATGTTATCAAATAATTAGCTGAAGAACTTGAATAGGAGGAGGCAGAGCCAACCAGGGTAGTTTAATAAATTTGGAAAAACCCTGTTCTAAATACCAAAATGAGGTCCCACATTATAAATAAAATAGATTCTCATTATATATATAATAAAAAGCTCACAAAGCTCAACAAAATGTAAATGTGTTCAACTGCTCATATAAAAAAGACATGATCTTAATAATAACCACATATAATTATTAAGGTATCACTTGAATTAGGCTGTCCTCCAGGCCAACTTTGAAGCGAAGGCATCAATTAAATCCCTGTACTCAATCTTCTCCATATACAGATATACTCATTCTCAATTGCAAAACTCTAAGAAACCTAAATAGCTAATAAAAATTCGAAACTATAAAGTAAATAATCTGAAAATTGAAATTTCAATGAGAAGGATAACAATAACCTAAGAGTAAACAATAAAATCTGATACTTAAAGTCATTTGAAAACAGAAGTTAACAACAAAAATAAAAATAAATGCTGAAACATGAAATATAATACTCCGTAGTAATAGAAAGCTTAAAAGAAGAATTTAAAAGTAAATTAAAATCAAACACTAATAGAGCAATACTTTAATATGGAATATGGAATGTAAATGAAAAAATGACATGTATATTACTAACAAAGATTCTTCAGATAAAAATATGACTACTTATGTTTTCGGACAAAAATATGACTAGTCATTGTGTACGAGTAATTGGACAAGAGCCACCGTATTTCAGAGTAACAAGTCACTACCGGTAGATAATGAATCAATCACTCAGAAGTAGTCGCTCAATATGTCACTTTTGGAAAAATTTAAAATAAGTCATATTTTTGTCTTTTGAATTTAATTTAGTAATATTAATGGGAAAAGGCTAATGTAAATCCAAAATCTGAAAATTAAAGTTTCCTGGAATCGAAAATCTGAAAATTAATCTGAATTCAACCATATGATTGATAAACTATAATGAACTGAATGTGATCAATTCTGACATTGTTCCAAAAAAAGCATGTCTGACATTGTAATATGAGCACTTCGTATGAATTTTACACTAATCTGAAATTTAAAAACTGCAACTTTACAATAAATCATTAATCAATTAAATTAGATATTTGGATTAACATTACACTCAAACACTGAAAGAGCTGAAATCCCTATGAACAATATTCATTAATCAATTAATGTTTAATCAAACATTCGAACCTGTAGAAGAGGCGGGCGGAAGAGCGAGAGGCGATTCCCTTGAAGCTGAAGCAAGAGGCGATTCAGGGTTGAGGGGATTAACCAGATGAGCAGAGGCGAAGAGAAGCGAAGAGCACAGGTTAAAAGCCGGCACTGGAGCCAAGTTAAATTAGGCTGGATTAGGCGTCTGTCTGAGAGCCTGTAGTAGGTGTCCTGAGGCTGTGGTAGGTGTAGAATGAAGAGTTTGACTCGTGTGTTGGCCGGCCGCCTGTCTGTCCCCGACTGCCATTCCTAATTCCTGTTAAACGTTTACTTTAGGGATGACTGGCATTAAAAAAAATGGACGATTAGATCTACTTTAGGGGAAAAAAAGTGTTTGTGCTCTTTTAGGGAGTAGAAACATATATTGGAGTAGAAACATATATCAGAGTGTTTAAATGAAAATGTAAAAGTATTTCTGGTTGCTCCAAATTGCTTTTAGAAACGGTTTTTTAGAAACTGAGGAAGATCAGTTTATGAAAAATTGATTCTGATTTTTTTTTACTCCAGGGGGAGAGGGGCTGGGGGGGCTTGGAGTAATCAGGCCTGAAATTCACTTCATTGAGTTTCAAACCCTTATGTGCCTAGCGGGATTCGAACTCTAGACCTCCCACTAAGCACGGTAACCTCACAACCAGCTGGGCCGGAATGCTTGGTTAAATTGATTCTGATTATGTCTCTGTTTTTAAAAAATAGAAGAAGAAGCAGAATCAGTTTGAAACACCATCATAAGGGGTGTTTGGATCTGATTCTTAAAACTACTTCTGCTCCTTCAGGGAGTAAAAGCAGAAGATGGAGTGTTTTGGTGAAAGTGCAGAAGTGATTCTGGTGCTCTAATTTACTCCTAGAATCAGTTTTTTATAGAAGTTGAGGGTGGCCAGTTTCTGAAAACTTATTCTGATTCTGATTCTGTTTTCAAAAAGAAGCAGAAGGAAAATCATTTCCAAACACCTCCATAGTAACCTTTCATTATAGTTGATAGGATTAGAAATCGAAATTTACCTTTTGTGACACTCTTATCTACCATTTGAGCTACGTCCATTGGTGATGACGATGTGTTTGGCATCGAAAGTCTAAGATGACTAACCGCAACCAAATTTCATAATAAACCAAATTCATCATCAGTATGTATTCATTCAAAATCCACATTGTCAATATATTTACTTAACAAAGTTGTTTTAATTAAAGCCTTGTTTTTATAATTTTATACATCAATATTTTTTCTATTTTTTGTTGCGATAATTATGATTTGAAAAGTCAAACATTGTGATGTAATAATAAATTATTTTTGAGTTTATTTCTTTTGTTGCTTCAGACCTATTTTTGTAAAAAATGGAAATGTGAAAAATATTTTAACAATGCGATCTTAATTTTCCATAACACTTGAATCTATTTAAGAAACTTTTGGGTCTTTAAAACCTCCCGCAATTGAAACTTTAAATTATTTAAAATAATGTGTATGTGCAAAATTAGCATGAATTTTCATATATTTTTTTACAAAAATTGAAGACAAATAAAAAATTACAACATTTTAAAGAAAAGTGGATTTTACCTCCTATGTGGACCCTACCCGGCCTTCTCATTCATTTCTAGCAATAGGCTATTCTAGGGGTGCAAATGACCGCCGAACCGAGTTCGAAAATGAGTATGCTTGAACTTGAGCTTGATGAGAATTAACGAGCTCGAGCTTGGACGATCGAAATAAATTGAGTTCGAACTCGAGCCGAGCTTGGCTCAAGGCTCAAGCTCATCTCGAGCTCAGTTCGAGCTCAGGTCGACTTCGCTAATTAATTTTTATAGATTTGAATTCGGATATGATGCTTGGACTTGAATTCGAATTCGAACTAAAAAAATCTATTTTCCAATTTATTAAAATTATATTCATATACTATCTCTGTCCCATAAAATAGTATCCATTTCAATTTGGATCGAAGTTTAAGAAAGTGAGAATAAAGTAGAAATGTATGGTTGTGGTTGAGTAAAAAAGTAAATGAATGTTATCCACACAAAATTTTCCAAAAAGGGAACTGAAAACTATCTTTTGGGACGGCCCAAAAATGAATGTGGGAGCTATTTTATGGGACGGAGGGAGTATTAGTAAATAATATCTAATATTTGTACTTGATCCTTCTCATTTGTAGCTTCTCTCTTTCACTCACATTTTTACTCCTTATTTTACTATCAATTAAATTGTAAATTATACAAAAAAATAAACATCAATAAATAAATCAATATAATATATATACAAATAAATATAGAATTATTTATTTATTTATTTATTTTATATATATTAGGGCTCGCGAGCTCACGAGCTCAAAGGAATTGAGCTCCAGCTCGGCTCGTTTGCTTAACGAGCCGGCTCGAATTCAACTGAACTCAAGTCGAGTTTTGACCGAACGGCTCATAAGCAGCTCACGAGCGGCTTGACTCATTTGCACCCCAATCAACTACCTCCTCTCTCTTGCATGAATAAATCAACCGATTCCCACCCCAAGGATGCCCCAACTAGCCAGCCCATTTTGAACCCCTTGTATACCTTGAGTTGTAGGTGTTTTTGGGGTGAAACCCCCAAAAATGTCATTTCCACCCTACAGTTGCGGTCAGACTAAGGATGTTTTTATTCAGACTATTTTCAGTCTCAGACTAGATCAAACTTAAATAAACCAGATCATACTTAAACATATCAGATCATGCTTAAATAAACCACACTTCTGCAATTATAAAATATACAAAGACATACATCTACCAAACTAGACTAGACCAAACTTTAACAAATCAAATTAGACCAAAAAAACAAAAATTAATCAAATGAAAAACATCTTGACAGTTTTCTGCATCGTCAAACAAAAATACTCCGTATGAACTCTATTTATATAAACTTTGTTAATATATACAGTTTTTACATTCCAATATTGTTAATACAATACACCCAACATATTTGTTAGCTTTGTAACACCGTCCCGAAGTATATTTACTTTTATGTAAATCATGTATTGAACCTTATGAAACGGTTAATGAATTTACGAGGTTGTAAATTTTTGTTATCACTTTTGCGTGAATAGTAAATTGCACGTGGGGCCCACACCGGGAACGAGGACCACTCAATATTTCCGGTACCACATATTATATTCATCTTGGTCTATATAATATGTATATGGTGGTGGATATTCTAGTTGGACTGTAGAAAAGCCATGGGGTTGACCGGTTGGACAAATGAGACCCAATTACCGATATTGGTAATTTATCAGATAACAGCCCGAAATGAATTTTGAGGACTTCTAAATTAAAGTTGGGGAATGTATATTCATTCTAAAGTTCCATAGTGATTCAGAACATGTGTTATATTTTATTTGACCCGATAAAATAAAATATAATTAAAACAATCCGAGAAATACAACTTTCGGGGCCGAATGTACACTTTGGGGCTTAATGGGATGACCCCCGCATATGCTCTAATTGACAATGGGGAGCCGCACAACGTGGTTGTGAGGCAAGAGAGGGGCTGAAGTTGATGGTTGGTGAGGAAGAGACATGGATGGGCTCCCTCCCTCTCATTATTTTCAAGCAAAGATAAAAGAGGAAAGCCTCCTCGTTACACCCTCTACCCATTTCGACCAAACCCATCCAAGAGTGAGAGAAATCTCTTCAAAACACTTACCTCCATATCTAAAAACGAGCTCAAGCAAGGGGATCAAAAGAGGAGTTTTAGAGAAGGAAATGTGAAGGAAAGTGTGAAGGGATTAAAGTAATGACCTTGTAATAATCTTTTCTTCTCATAACGTTTAACATATGAAGTTTATATCATATGAAGGACTCCTAGGATTGTTCTACATGTTTAGAAGTGTAGAATGAGGGGTTGGAAGGTAGTTCTAAGTCCAAGAACGGACTTAGAAACCAAAGTGACTAGTTCACCGGAAATATTTGTATTGATATGAGTTTTGTGATGATAAAACCTTGTTAGGAAGTTGTCTAAGGTGTTTCTAGCACTTTCAAGGAGTTGAAAAAGTCGTCGGAGTTATCGTCGGAGTTCATCAAAGTTCAACAGAGAAGTGTAGAACTTCATAAAGCTTATTCAAGGTGAGTGGACGGCTTAATGTCTTGTAACTCGTGGGTTAAGCATGAGATTACCTAAGTAAATGTTATATGTGTTCATAATGATGTTTAAACGAGTTTAAACATGTGATTTGCCAAAGTGATTAGGCTTATATGAAATGAACTATTGAGTTGTGCATGAAATATGATATGAAAATGTTTATAAAAACATATGTGATGTTTTGAAGGATAAAAATGGCATAAAATGTTTGACACGTTGTGATTAAGTTTGACACGAATTAGACTTGAAATGGCAGGTCAATGGAACGTTGATTGCCCAGGGGGCAACCGGTGCCGGTTATGGCTTGAATCGACGCCGGTTATGGCTTTAACCGGCGCCGGTTAGGCCCAGTTTTGCCTCACGGTTTATTTTTTATGTGTTTTGCATGGATGATTATGCTTAGACCTTAAGACTTGGTTTAGTCTTGATTATTGATTATGATATAGACCCTATATAGTATGATATGTGGTAGATCATAGGTTGGGTGGAGTACCCAGGCATTGGGCGTGTATCCTCATAACTCGGTTATGTCGGGTGGAGTACCTAGGGACCGGGCGTGTATCCTCAAAACTGGGTTGTGTCGGGTGGAGTACCCAAGGATCGGGCGTGTATCCTCAAAACTCGGTTATGAAGGGTTGAGTATCCAAGGATCGGGCGTGTATCCTCAAAACACTCGGTTATGTCGGGTGGAGTACCCAAGGATCGGGCGTGTATCCTCGAAACTCATAGATCACAGTTTAGTAATTCAGGACCGGGCGGTGTCCTTATGATAATTGATTTGGACCAGGAGGAGTCCTATATACTCATAGGTATATGGGTGTGTTGGGATTTTAAGTCAAGGACATTGACTACTACTATTTTCCCAGATAAACAATGACCTACGGGTCGAGTATTTTCAAGTGTATATATACGGATATGTATTTCAAAACTTGGGGGAAAGGACTATATGTGTATGTATCACCCTATGTTTGGGTCTTATACTTGAAACGTTAGTTATGCTACATTCGGTCTACTGCTCGCTCGATATTCGCGTATTGTTCCCTTCGGGAGTCCACCATTTCAGGTTGAAAATAAAGCTTGCCATCCGCACCTTGCTCAGTGAAGTGATTCGAAGGAAGACGTGGTTCGTGCTTCCTTTATTATTTTCAAATTACAAACCGTGCTCATGGATATTTATGTACTAGATACATTGTTTTCGGCCTGCAAGCCCACGTTTTGGCCATGTGTGGCCCATGATTGATTTTTGA